CATCCGATCCCGCATCATGAACCTCAACAACTCGCGCCACACCAGCTCAGAGCAGAGCAATGCCGCTTACCCTGTTCAACCACACTGGAGCAGGTCCGGCCAACGCGTGCCCTACTCCAACTCCAGTGCGAACTACTACCCTCCAGCACAGGGATCACCACCCGTGTCCCCCACCATGTCTGGGTCATCATATGCGTCTGCTTCTTCCTATTACCCCGCCACGAATGCTCCCCCTTCTGGAATCCCAACCCAACAAGGTTTCCGCTCGCCGACTACGCCCCACTCGTCCTATCCAAACCCAGTTACAAGTAGTCAACCATCCCACAATGTCCCCTCATCTCTACCATATCCATCCCAGCCTAGCGCGGGATCAGACCCGAGAGCAGGTTATTCCCATCACCGATCGGGGTCTCTTCCACAGCAAGGCTATCCTCCCAGCTCGATGTCGAGCCCAGTATACAGCAGGCACGATTCGACACATAATTCGTTGATGGTGCAGGGTATGAACCAGGTGCAATATCCTGCTTCTCCCCAGCGCCCATTTGCATGTGACATGTGCGCGCTTTCGTTCAATCGTCAACACGACCTCAAGAGGCATCGGGAAACGCATTCTGGTGAAAAGCCGTTCCTGTGTAATGGAGGATGTGGCAAGACGTTTACGAGGAAGGACGCATTGAAGAGGCATCAGGTTCGTCCGACCTCATTTCGATCATCGCCAGCCTACCGATCTTTGTTCGCAGCTCGTGAAGAGGTGTGGATTTGAGGAGCAATCCTAAAGCCGTCTCATCGTAATCCCGCCTTTAAGCGTAAGCAGCTTTTGCGTCCTCGTATACCACACTTAGGCTCACGGAACCAGTGGATCTGTACTTCAGCTGTCTTTTGTTCTATCTCGCCCTGCTCTGTCGTTTGGAGGGATAGGTGTCTCATTATAATTTGTTCAGCGATTGGGAGTGCTAGACACCCAGGCGTTTACTTTGTAGCCTATATATTCTGTGAATGTCCGCTCCCTGGTGTGGGAAATACAGTAATAGATATAAAGCCCACTTACATCCTCTAACCGACCGGGGCGACGAAATCAGTTCTTCTCGCCCTCCAGAGGCTCAATATCCCGTTCTAAAACCCAGGCAGCGCTCGGCGTTATCTTCTTGTAATAAGTTTCGTCGATGCCGTTCTCCTTGAACCCATGTCGTTCGTAGAACTGCTTCGCGCCGTCGTTTGAGACTTGCACATGAAGATAGATTCGGCTGATTTTGGTTTTCGCATGAGAAGCGGCGGCTTGCAGGATGACGTCTAAGCTGTGGGAACCAATGCCAAGAGATCGATAGGGCTAGAGAGGTATGAATGAAGGACGTCAGTACCGAACCTGGGGAGCCAGGATTGCAACTCGTTCGCACGGCAAGAACTCCCATGGTTAGAAGGTACAGGTGATTAACGCCGTCCTTAGTTTCGATTCTGCAGCATATTGTTCCGACGGGTATGTCGTTGTAGTAAACTGCGGGTACGATTGGGACGCTGCTGCAGGGAAGGATAGACCAGCACACACTCAGCTTGCAAAAATCCTCGACTTCGGGCAAGAGGATTTCGCTATAGAATTTCTCACTATATTTTATCGGAAAGAGAACAGAGTTCAACTTTCGGACTGTTCCAAGATTGTTCTGTGTCAAGGACGCGAAGGCAACCTTGGATGATAACGCCATTTTCGAAGAGGTCATGGGGGATGATACAAAACCGTCGAGGTCAGCGCCACCAGCTCCCAGCCACACGGTACCACCATGGGCAATCAGAAACGGCCGCCGGAAGGCTCCTCCCTACACTGGCCGCCCAACTCAGAAACAGGAAATCATACAGTGAAGGCATCGCAGCCATTTAAGGCTGTATGCGGAACTAATTGCCGCCATGGTTGCACTTTTCTGATGGGACAAGTCGCGAACAAATGTCACTGTCAGCGGCCAGCGTACATGGAGCCACTTAACCCGATACGGTCGCTGCACTATCCCCATCTCAGCGCACCCAGACAATCACGCAGCGCCTACCGTCCCAGCAATTTCATTCAACCCCCTCGAGTTTTTTTTTTCGTGCCCGCCGCTCACCTCGTGCTTGATGATCATCATTGGCGCTGCTTTGGTACAACCCCCATTCGGTCTAGTAAGGGTGTTAGCATGAACTTCTGGAACACGAGTACGTCCATCCAAAACACGAAATTTTGTGGGCTGTGCTGCTCCGCGTGGCCGTCCCACATGGAAGGAAAAAAAGGAAACGCTAAAATTGTGCGGGGCGCCACTGCAGTAATGCGCAGATTCGCCACACACTCTCGTTGCGTCCGCTGCTTCCAGTCCTAAGTCGAAGCGCCACGACTTCGAAGCACTGCGCTCTTAAGAGGGGCAACGATAAATTGAGCGCCGAGGACCCCCCGCCCCCCCAACCACTTCATCCATGCATCAGGCCATCAGGCATCAGGCCCTCAGGAGCTGTACGGCAGAATACTTCGCGCGGATAGGCACGGTGCCAGAGACGAGACGGACGCTGTCTTTGGTCCACCAGTTATCCAACCCTGTCACACGCCCGGCGCATGCATGTTGATTAACCGGTGAGCCCCGAGCAATTGGCCCATTGGCCATTCATGAACTATGGAGCCGTAAACACACCCCTCAGGGCACTCGGATTTGAAACCACATAATTACGACACGGATGAGTTGGAGATGTTGGGCCTGCAAACAACACCTGAAATTTGATCGCCTAGCCGCCCCTCTCCTCGCCCCCATATCCCACGCAGCGATGCGAACGTGTCAGAGTCATCGGATGGCGCTGACGTGTCTGTAATCGTACCGTACCCACGGCACTGCCCGTGGGTTCGATAAGTACACCAACGTGACGTTGCGCCCATCACCTAGGCTTCAGGATTCATAATCTCTTAATCAACCTATTTAGGTAAACCCACATCACAAGGCCTATGAACATAACCTCTTTTCGTAGCCTCGGGTCCACCTGAACAGATCGATCCATCTTCCGGGCGCGTTCTCATGATATGTACTTGGCCCGAATATCTCCGTTTAAGGCGAGGCGATGGATCAAGATGAGCAAGTGCCGTCGAGAGCCGAATTCATTGTCGGTTCTTTCATACTCGCCGGCCAGAGCCGCTCCAATCGTATCGTGAGGACGTGTGGTCTCCGCATGTCTGCATTTAGATAGGGGGATGCACGCAACGATCGTTCGTGTCCTCTCTGCGATACAGTTTGTGCCAATTTGTCTTGGCGGGGCACCATCTCGCTTGCGTGATATTTTCCTTGCATTCGTGAGATGCGTCAAGGACGCTCGGAGAGTATAAGGTATCTTTCCTCGGCATTGGATACGTGCACATGATTGGGCTAGAGGGCCGTTGAGTTCATCAAGCTGATGCAGCATGTGAGGTCATGGCGGACACTCCCTCATGGTTTGCTTTACGGCACAATACCCCCACTTACCGCCTACACACTGCGACGGTGCCTGCCTTCTGCATGGTGATTTGACAGTTCAGGACACAGCCTTGAAAATTCTATACAGCAGCTTCCGTTCTCTTTTGTATTCACTTTTTCTCCTGTCTTGGTCCGAGGACAGATATTCCCTTCCTGACTTGCTTGATCCGATCCCTGTCGTCAAGGGATACAAATCAGGGGGCCCCAGTAGCCGGATCAAAAATACTGACGTTTCTCGCAATCTCCAACCACATGCAATCAGTGTGGCCCTGCATCCATGCATCATGCATACGCAAAAGTTCAAGGGGTCGTGATGCGAGGCAGCTTGTGATGCCGCAGGTTGCGGTAAGCGTTGGCAGATCTCACTCTACGAGATGCGGGAGCAATTCTGTCTCTGTTGTCTCGAAAGGAGCCAAGCGGTGGAGCCGAGCTGATCGAGACAGAAATCAACGACAATACAAATCAAATACAGTGATATTGCGACTTCGAGCTTCAAGAAAAGATGCAAGATGAATTCTGGGGACGAACCGTGATAAGGAAAGCAAGCAGCGCACAGCAAAATTGATGGACAAGTTGTTTACACGTACAAAACGAACCCCATAATAATAATTTTTCTTGAAAATGAGGTTGATGATTCAAAAAAAAAAAAAAAAAGTCCAGTTGAATGAATGAGCCTCTGCCGCCAAAGGTTCAGCGTGTCGAGATGCCATGCCCGGGCCCGCGGAACGTTCGTCCCTGTTGCTTTGGCGGAGATTTGCGCTTCCGAGGCGACGATGAGTTGTGCTGCATTTCGGCGAGATAGACATCTTCAAAATTCCGGAATGTGCACGGACCGAAATCGCCATCGTACTCTGCCATGGTCGCCCAGACGCAGTGCCATCCGGGTTCCTCTGCGAACTTGAGGGCCAGCGCGACGTGCTCGACGTTCCATCTGCTCTCCCTCGTCTGGGACCACTCGTGGGCGGTGTCCTTCAATTTGATCATGCGCGCATGGGTGACCGTTAGGCGAACGTCGATCTGGCCACGTGGGGGCTTGAAGAGAGGGAGGAGTATCGAGTTGGTCTCGAGCTCCTTTGGGATGCCGCGATAGACGGGGTCGTAACCATCCACACGGACTTGATAAGTGGTGTTATCGGCGAAGCGGAGAGTGACAGCAGGATGTGTAGGGGACTGTCTGATGTGGAGCAGGACTTTGCCAACAATTTGATCGGGATCGATGCCGATCGAGTCGGCAGGGCCAGGGGGAGGTTGCTTCCGTCTTGACGCAGGCGAACTGGAGCTGGTCGGTGAGGATTTAGAAGACAATGGCGAGTCGAGGTTGTTGTGGGACGGCATGATACAGCTGACTTTGTGATAAATTACAGGCCCTTCCCCGTGGACGTGGATAGGAGGAAGTGGCACTTTCAAAGGAAAAGAAAGGACTCTATAAACACATTTCAGAAGTAGAGTTGTGGCCAGATGGGCAGCCTGGTCCGCCGCTGTTGTGGACGGTGGGACGAGGCGTTATCCACCACAGCCACAAAGATAAGCAGCGAAAAAAAAAAAAGTTGGCACTGACGAGATTCGAACTCGCGAGGTTTCCCATCACGGATTGGTCGGGACCTAAACGTGACGCCATAACCACTCGGCCACAGTACCGCAGCACGATGAGACTGGAGGAGCATGAAGATATGTGGTGTGTGCAGTCGTCGTATCGTTGTCAAGGGCCAGGCTGCGAAGCCGGCCACGGCCATGAGCGTTGGGCGGCGGTCACAACAAAACGTAGAGTAGTACTGCCTACCCTGACTCTTCCCCTGAGTCTGTGTCGTCCAAACCTTCGCTACCCTCCTTTTCTCTTCTACAGTAGCCTGCACTCTGATACTGATATCCTCCATGTTGCTTTCCACCGGATCTGGCGGTCAGCCTCACCATCATGCTCCCGCTCCCGCACGTCCCCTCGGCCCCCGCATCCAGAGGTGCGCCTCCCCCGCACCCTACTCTACATCTACCTCCCAACAGACCCAACCCCTGAATATACGCAAGCCGTCGGCGGCTAAGACTGAAAACTCTTCCCTCGCCCCTCCAAGTCCTCCTTCCTCTCGCTCTCCCACACCAAAGTTAGCTCTTCAGATCCCATCCCCATCCCCCACTCCAGGTAAAGGCAAGCCCTCCCTCAAACTCGCCATTAGTGGCTCCTCAAGCTCCCGTCAGACCAGCGCACCAACAGTAACAGTGGCCCTCTATGGTGGTGATTATTATGGCGGTCCACAGACCCCTTCTGTTTCCCCTCCAATGAACGATGGCGGTGTCGATGATGCCACCATCCGTCCGTCTATGAGCACGTCCAGGCCACTCTCGATGGAGGATGTCCGTCGTACGATCACTGATATCGAGGCCCAGACTCGCTCCACTCCCCCTCCGCCCACATACCCTGGGGAGGAGCAGATCGATGATCAGCCACAAACCGAATGGTCAGACGCTATCTTTGATGAAGTTACTCGGCTCGGAGAAGGTGCCGGTGGTGCCGTGCACGAGGTCAGGGACCGGCGCACGGGCAAATTCATGGCGCGCAAGACGATTACCACTCGTGAGGCCCCGATGAAGCAGGTCGTGCGCGAGCTCGGCATTATCACCACCATCAAGCATCCTAACATCATTCGCTTCTATGGCGCCTACATGTCCCCATCGTCCAGCGAAGTCAAAGTGGTCATGGAAATATGCCAAGGAAAGAGTCTGGAAGCCGTGGGCAAGCGCATCAAGGAGCGTGGTGCCAGAGTCGGTGAGAAAGTCGCCGGGAGGCTCGCGGAAGGGGTACGCCTGTCCGTTCGTTTCATCTCATCGGTCACCCTCACCTTCTGCCTCCAGATATTGCAGGGTCTTGCTTACCTTTATTCAAAGAAGCTCATTCACCGAGACATTAAGCCCTCTAATGTCCTCCTTTCCCGCGAGGGTGTCGTGAAACTTTGCGACTTTGGTGTTTCAGGAGAATTGATCGCATCCGTGGCGGGCACGTTCACTGGTACAAGTCTCTACATGGCCGTCAGTCTTTGTCCAGCTTGTAACGTAATATTTGCTTCTGACATGCGCCGGCCATGCAGCCCGAACGCCTCTCAGGTCTCGAATATTCCATCCGAGCAGATGTCTGGTCGACAGGCCTATCACTCCTCGAGCTTGTACAAAATCGTTTCCCCTTTCCTAGTGACATGCCGCCCATCGAACTCATGATTTATATTACGCAAAGCGAGGTGTGTATTTCATTTCTCTATTATGGGGTTCCATATATCCATTTATTTTTTTACGTCCAGCCGCCGCAACTAGAAGACGAAGCAGATGTACGTTGGAGCGATGCCATGAAGGATTTCATCAAAGAGACGTGCGGTTCACCCCTGTCCCTCGTGTCTCAATCTTGACCCTCATTTCTTCTAGTCTCCGGGTCGACCCGGCTCTACGTCCGCCGCCAAAAGATATGCTATCCCACCCGTGGATCGTTAGGGTCATGAGGCAAGAGGTGCCCATGGAACGATGGATCCGTGAGGTTTGGGGCTGGCCTAAACCCAATCGAAAGTCTAAGGATTCGTAAGGCTAACCTCGTTGTGCATCAGCAGCCCGCACACTGACTCTCAACCCGACTCTTCCAGCTCTTCTCGACCCAGTTCGAGTCGGAAAGAAACTCCGCTGTCTGACGGTCCCTTAACTGGGGTCCATTCAAACGGAAATGGCTACACCCCTGCCCGGTAATTGCTTCGATTGCGGTGGGTCTCTTTGAAGGTGCAATCACGGACATCATATAATCCACGATCTGTCTTGCTATCTCCCTCTTGTGTCGCTTTTTCCAAACTCCGTTTGCGCGTTCTTGACGTGCATTCCACACATTCCCCACGGCCTTTCATGTTTCACGGTCAATCGCTTGTCTGATAGGAACCCCCATTATTCAAATGTGTGTAGAAAGATTAAATCCTCGATAGCAATGTATTCACACCACGCGTGAACCTGACTCCCTACCTTCCCCTTGGATGGCTAGGACTTTCCCTGATTTGAGGTTTACTCGATATGTATCGATGGAACCCCCGAGGAATTTGTAAACGCTGCTCACGTAAAATGTCTCACAACAATGACCAAGATTCAGGGAGTGTGAACATAAGACTGGCCTTAGCTAGCGGGTAGACAGCGTGTGCCCGTGTCAAAGAATACGCACAGCTTGCTTACTAGGAGAAGAATTTGTTTGTCGAATGTCCGCTAGGATCGAACCAACCCCAGCGCTCGTTCTCAGCCTCAACCTCAAAGACAGCAGCAGTCCACTCTTGGTCACGACCCAGCCACACGAGAAGTTTCTACACTGTCATTTGATGGAGTTTCACGATCACAGGGTTTGGATATAGTCCTCCGAGGAGTATATCGAGTGGGCAACTCAGGACTTCGAAACACGTGGCAGGCCAGAGTTTCACCATAAATTGGGGGAATATTCTTGAATTTATTGTAAGGCGTTGCGAACCAGGGGGGAAGACCCTTGGAAATAAACCTAATCACTCCCTATGCTCAACCCCGCCGCTGGATGCGTCAAGAGTCGTCCACGCATGCGATTGTCGCAGCGCGCGACTGAGGGCCGAATGAGCTGACCGCGCTGACCCGCTGACCGCTCGACTGGGCTTACGAACCTCAACACTTTCCTTTTACAGATAGTGTCCCCCCTTGTCTGACGTACACCAACTTCTGAAGGAATAAAATGAAAAAAAAAATTGAATCACACTCTTATGTACCGTTTATGTACACACGGATGGTTGGCAATTTCTGCGCCCTCGGGCGCGGAATGCAGTTAGAGTGGGCGGTTCTTTAATTCTGAAACCCCGAGGGAACTACGTTGATGGAGAATTGGAAGATTGCATGGCAGGCAGGTTTATTTAGCCCCCCCTCTCTTTTTCGACGCGTTGCCTTGTTCTTTGTTTTTGTTATAGAGGTGCTCGGGGAACGGAAAGAAAGAGGCGCAAGAGAGGGGCCTCGGCAGCGGCATTTCTGGCCAAGTTGCCGGGTCTCGGCCCCCGCCGGCCTCCGTCGTCGGTTTCGCGGGTGGTGGGTGACGTGAAAGATCCATCAAGCCATGGGACAAAAAGCTCTTCTCCCGTGGTGCCAGTGTTCATCATCTAGCGGAACGATCGCGTATCGCGATAATGGAACGCGAGGTCGCGTCAACTTTGCAGGAAAAAAAAAGGCAGGGAACGGAGGGAGGAGGAGACCTTGCTCTATCGGGGATGAGCCATCTGGCTCGGCTGACGTTTCTGCCCAGTGCCAGTTGTAAGCGTTCGCCAAGGGGGGGGGATTTTTTGCTGCCGTGCTCGGTTGTGGCCAACTTTGTTCTTTCTGGTTCTCGACATCTTGGTGTCACGGTGTGCCACCAGGCATCGCAATTTTGATCATTGAGAAGATGTTGATGAAGTCGAGGTGGCCCGAACACCGCTCCCGGATTGCATTCCCATGCCCGACCACACCCTCCTCCTCGGTCTGCGTTGCAATCAATGAACTATCCCCTCTCGGTCTGTGGTTTGGGCGTTCGACTCGTCTGCTGGTCACTTTTCCACTCACTTGCGTTGTTCTGTCAAGTAAGGTGCACCAATGGGATGCTCGTTTGATAAACCATCATCATGACCGCGATGCTCGCCGCTAAACGAACCCTGGTTCTGTGTCCCATGTGTTACGATCGTAGTGCCGGTTTGCTTTCCTTGGCTCGTTCACTGTAGTGAAAAGGTATGCTTGCATCGCTCACGCAGCCTTGACAGGGCATCCTGTCCTTCAAAGTCATGATTCGTTCGTCTAATGCCTGCGTGTACAGGAACCCCCCCGCCGGAAACGAACATGCTGTGTTCTTCTTTTCGTGAATGTTCACAGCCTCGGAAAGAAGTCCAAAGTCCATCGTGATACTGACTGGGCACATCGATGAGGGGTCGGGTACCAAGGTTATCTCCTTCACGGGTAACCACATCATGCTGCGACACGGCCGCACGACTCAAGAATAGGATCGTACATCACCATTCTGTATGATGCACCCCAGCGGTGGTTTCCTATTTTCAGCTGCGATCGACAGGCATAAGGCCCCTGAGGTGTCCGGATCTTTCCAGCCCGTCGTGGTGTCGTTGAGTCACGCAATATCTTACTTCCGTGTGCGGTGCGGACCGTGTTCTGGGCACCGTCCTGATAGCACGGAACACTGAGTGTCGCGGCACTTCATCCAGTTCTGCCGGATCCGAGCGATCTCATGGATCTAAAACTTAACACACCGCAGAATAACGCGAGACCACATAAGCGACCCAACTGCGCAACTGCTCTACAGTATCAAGTTTGCGGTATGGGGAAATCACTGCACCTCAACGACCGGCTTTTGCCCCGTCGTGCGGGACCGAATAGTAACTCCAAACGTCATCTCAGTTCGTTCAGTTCGATCTTGTCACTTGGCTCCTCTCTCTCCCCATCCTCTTCCTCCACAACCTCCCCCCCCCCATCCAACTCCTGGCCTCCGCACAGCTACTCGGCCATGCCACTTTTACATTGACCTTTTGTACGACCACATAGACACTTATTATGAACACGAATTGGTGACGCATGCAGCTTTTTCGAATCTTGGTTCTAGTCACGGGCTCCCCTCAGTTCAACGTTCTTCATCAGATGTC